CCAAAAGCTGCCGGAGACAGACACCTCCCTCTGGGGATACAGACAGGCAGGTATCACAGTCTGGGCACCTCTTACTTAAAGCCCAAATTCGGGACTCAGGACGTTTTTAAATGATTTTCTGAGCTTCCAAGTTCATCTGGGTGGTCTAGTCTTTGTTTTCATACCTGGTAAGTGGCAGTTTCTCTCCTGGAGCCTCCATTTAGGAGCCTCCAGTCACGCCAGGAGGTCACACCGTGGGTCACGCCCTGCTGCACTGTAGCCAGGAGGGCAGCTGCTCCCACCCCAAGCAAAGGTCAGGCTGGAAAGTCCAGGTGTGGGAGTGCTCCAAGTGGGTCCTAAATCGTAGCAGAGTGGCCCCCACCCTGAACCTGCCCCACAGCCCAGGCTTTGCTCCCCACCCGCAACGTGGGCCAATGGGTTGTGTCCAGGCAGGTGGACAGGAGCCATGTGCCCACATAGGCCTCAGGCGGGAGGCTTGGGGTGGCATCTAGAGGAGGTGGCCTGGTCTAGTTTTCAGGACGGCTAAGTTCTCACTAAGGACCTTGAGCCCCTCAGGACCAGTCCCCACAGGTGTTGGGCATTCATGGCACAGAGGGCAGTCCCAGCTCTGCCGCCTGGGTGATGGTCCCAGGGGATGACCACAGGTGGTTACCCGATGGTCAGCTGCCCCTGGCACAGGCTTCTTCATGTCTCCATCATATGGTGGCCTGGGGCTGTGGGCACCCCCTCAGCTGCAGAACTGGCAGGGCGAGTATGGGGCCATCTTGGTTGGCAGCCTCTGGGCTAAGGACTCCTCTGGTCTTGGCCTCTGGCCCTCAAGCACCCACACTGGAACTCCCTGCCATGCTGTGATTCAGAAAGCAGTGCCCTCACTGAGCATTTCCAGGGACAAAAGCCAGGGTTTTATGACAGGGACTTGTGATGAGCAAGGGCTGGGATTCTGCACTGAGCCTGGCAGTCCCAACACACAGATGGGCAGGGCCACGGGCATTTGCTCCTGACGGTCTGGCTCCCCATCTCCCTGGCAGGGTGGCCATGGCCCTCCACTCATGCTGGCTCCCAGGCCGCCCTCATGGCCCAGAATGTTTGTGAACACAGCTACTGAGACACAGGGAGCTCTAGGCTGTGCCTTCATCTGGCCCCTTAGGGTCCCTGCCCAGATGGCGGTCTGCCCCAGCTTCCAGAAGAATCTGCCTCTGCCCTGGACACTGTGGCTGCACCAGCCAGGCTCAAGTGAGATCCAGCACTGAGCCCTGTGACCTGTCCATGTCCCCACCACAGGGCTCAGGGAACCTCTAGGGGCTGGGAACCTGGGCTGCCCAGCTGAACCTCCTGAATTTTGTAAGGGTATCTGATGTCCCAGGGGCCAAAGGGGTCAAGTGTGGCCTTCAGTAGGTGTCCAGGACCCATAAGCCACCAGAGGCCAAATTGAGCTACATTGCCCTTCCCCCTTCAGGAGGCTTCGGGGCCCATCTTTGGGCACCTGAGCAGGGGTCTCAGAGGCCCAAGGCCTGCCCTGGGGGGCTCCCTGCAGCCAGCCCAGCTCTGCTCTGTGCTTTCTTCTGCCCCCCCCCGTGCACACGGGGCGAGGGCCCTTGTTCCCTCATTCTGAGCTTGTCAAACTCAGTCCTGGGCCTGAGTAACTTGAGGCACTGGCGAAGAGTTCGTCTGCTCTCTACTGGCGCCACTGTGGTGGGCCAGGCACAGCGTCCCCTCTGCCGCACCACCGGCCACCATAGAGGGGAAATGGGGTTATTTCCAGTTATTTGTACAAAGACTATTTTCTCTCTAATGAGAGACTCATAAAGCTTCTCCCAGGTCATTCCTAACAAAGGGGTCAGTAAAGAACCCCCCAAGCCTAAAGGAGGGTGGTGTGGACTCGGGAGGAGGGAGGAGGAAGGAGTGGGCAGTGGGCGCCTGGTATCCCTGCTGGCTGGGGACCAATTACATCCTGGGAGAGACCAAGGATGGGCAAGGAGGCAGTCCCCAGGTCTGGGTTAACACCAGTATTAAGAATGGAGCCCACCCAATCCTGAAGGCTCCCTGCAGCAGGTGTGGCCTGCAGCCTGACCATGCAGCCCAGGGCAGGGGGTGGCCCTCTCTGGCTTTGTGTGCTGCCTTTGTTTTCATTCTGGTTTCTGGTTTTGGAGAGTTCTGTAGCCCTCTTTATAAAGTGAGTTGCCTTCTATTTGGGCCATCGCCAATTCCAGGAAAAAAAGAAAAAGTGCACCCTATACCCCTTTCCACTCAATTCTTTTGTAAAGAGTAGTATTTGTCCACAGAAATAACTGCAGACAGAAATCCCAAAGGCAGCTGGCACAGATGTCCATGACATGAGGGGCACAGCCCTGTTCGTAGGGACTGCCTGTCTTTGGAGCCACAGCCAAGCATGGCTGCAGTGCTGTGGGCTCCTGGTGAAATGACCACAAAAGACACCTAATTTGGATGGCTCTGTGCACTCAGGGCTGAGGCACCCCACCCCACCTTCTGGGCCCTGACCGGGAAGCACACAGCTTCTTCACTGCTTGGACCCAAAACAGTAAAAGAGCCAGTCCTGGCCCACATTCCCAGAGTTTTCCTAAAACTCTACATTCAGCCCCCTCACTGAGGACAAACCTAGGTGGTGCATGCTTTGTCTGGCTGTGTGGAGGACATGCTGTAGCCCTTTCCATCTGCAGTTCTCCTAACAAACACTCTGGACTGAGCACCTAGCTCTTGGCACTTCTTTCTTTGGAATCCCAACAACCCCCTATTTGGACACCCTGGGAGTCCTGCTGGGACCACAGCCAAGACAAAACAGAAACTGTTGAAATGACTTCCAAGGGGGAGCACCACTTACATCCGTGTCATGGTCATGGCTGCTCTACACCCTCACAAAACTCACTATTGTCAATGTTTGTCATTTCACCATTTCAGGGGGTGGACAGTGGTACCCACTGCGATTTTAATGTCCGTTCTCCTTACATCTCAGAGATATTGAGCACCCTTTCATGTGCTCATTGGCTGTCTGCACATCTTCCTTTTCGTGTTGGGTTGTCTGTCTTTCTCTCATCAAATTTCTGAATTTTAAAAGATATTTACATGTTCTAATTCAAGTCCTTTGTCAGATAGGTTATTATGAATGTTTTCTCCCAGTCCCTGGCTTTTGTTATTTTCTTAACAGTGTCTTTCAAGGAACAGAAAGTTTTACTTTTTGATGACATTTGATTTGTCTTTTTTCTTCTTTTAAGTTTCATGATTTTGTGTGCAACTGAGTCTTTTTCTTTCAAATAGCTGTCCAATTGTTCCACCACCATTTGGCACATGTGTGCTCTGGGTTCTCTGCCACCTCTTTGGCTCCATGGTTGTGCACATCCATCTTTCAGTACTAACACACCCCTTGATCACCGCAGCTTTAAAACCACTCTGTAAGTTAGTGTTAGATATTTAATGTTTGCTTCATATGGACAGGTAGGCAATATAGATCCCATTTGCCAGTTTATTAAATTCACCAAAGATGTTAGTGCATGCTTTTCTCTCCCTGTGATGTCTTTGTCTGATCTTGCTATCTGGATAATGCTGGCCTCATAAATCAAGTTAGGACATCTTCTGTCCACTTCCACTTTCTGAATGGTAGGACTAGTACTACTTCCTCTTTAAAAAGAATTCACCAGGCCAGACGTGGTAGCTCACGCCTGTAATCCTAGCACTCTGGGATGTTGAGGCGGGTGGACTGCCCAGAGCTCAGAAGTTAGACCAGCCTGAGCAAGAGTAAGCTTGTTTCCCTTAAAAAAAGCCAGGTGGGCTTGGTGCCTGTGGCTTAAGCGGCTAAGGCGCCAGCCACATACACCTAAGGTGGTGGGTTCAAATCCCCAGCCCGGGCCGCCAAACAACAATGATGGCTACAACCAAAAAATGGCCAGGCGTTGTGGCGGGCGCCTGTGGTCCCAGCTACGTGGGAGGCTGAGGCAGGAGACTCGCTTGAGCCTAGGAGTTGGAGGTTGCTGTGAGCGTGATGCCATGGCACTCTACCTAGGGGGATAGCTTGAGGCTCTGTCTCAAAAAAAAAAAAAAAAAAAAGCTGGGTGTTGTGTCGGGCCTCTGTAGTCACAGCTACTTGGGAGGCTGAGACAAGAGAATCGCTTCAACTTCCAAGAGTTGGAGGTTGCTATGAGCTGTGATGCCACAGCACTCTACTGAGGACCACAAAGTGAGACTGTCTCAATAAAAAAATTAATAAAAGAAAAAAAAACACTCCAAACTAAGACAATTGAAAGCCAACTGAAAGCAAAAATTAAAAAAAAAAAATTCACCAGGTTAGCCTCCTGGGCCTGAGATGCTTGATTTCAAATTTGACTGCACATTCAATTAAACAGATGAAGAGCAATTTATGTTTTGTCTTTTTTGGTGTCAGTTTTAGTAATCTGTACCCTTCAAGGAATTTGCCCAGAAATGCTATTAGTCAGAAATCTGACACGGCTGTCACAGCGGGCGCCCAGGACCGGCGAGCAGAGGTCACCAGAGCCTGCCGGGTCTGCTCCCGTGTGCGGTGCGGCCGGAGAGCACCCCTGCTTCTGGATGTTCCCTCTAAACGCCCCAAACGATAAATACATTTAATACCCGCGCCGGAGGAGCTGAAAGGACAGCAGCTGCGGCCCAGCCGGGATCTGTCACCACTCCGGACGCTGGCTCCGCCCCCTTCCCCGGGACACCCCTCGCAGGACAGGAGCTCGGGACGCCGGGTTGGGGAGCCGAGAGTGGCGCGGGGCTCCATGCTGGGTCTCAGCTGGATGAGTACGTGGAGTCAGTGCCTGCATGACCCGCTGCCACCCACGTGGGGAAAAGCTAGGAGCTGACTGGACACTAGGTTGTGGTAGACCTCCAGCGAGGGCAGAGGCGCTGCGCATGCGCACCTCACGCCCTCCGCCACCAGACGCATGCGTGAAACTGGCGTCTCCGCGTTGCCGTGGTGACAGATAACGCGCTTCACAGGGGCGGGGCATTCATGGTTTCCGGGGCGGGGAGCTGGCGCCGGAAGTGCGTGGCCGCTAGGGGCCATGGCGGCGCTCGGCGTCGTTTACGTGCTGCTCTGGGCAATTAACTGGCCGCCGGTTTCGGCCTCCAGAGAGGAATTTTGGCCTGGCCAGTCGGCGGCCGACATCCTGTCGGGAGCAGCGTCCCGCAGACGGTAAACGCTCGTCCGTGGCGCCGACCGTGGGCCCAGCTCGAGGAATGAGGCGGGAGCCCGTGGGGAGGGACAGGGGTTCAGTGGGCCGGGCCGGGGTCAGTGAGCCGCTACTGGGTAGGACTCAGTGGGCTGCGGCGGGGGTCAGTGGGCGGGCACCGGGGAGGACACAGCCTAAGGGCCGAACCCCGCCACTCCTTGTCAGGTGGTGCAGGTCTGGGTTTGAGGGGCTCTGGAATCAAGTGTTTCATTGGGATGGTTCTCGTGTATCTGCACAGAACCATTCAGTCTCCATCCAGATGTTGGACGTTCTTGATAAGTCTCTGGCATGAAACAGGCTTCTCTGATATTCGCCAGTTACGGAGGGCTTGGTACCAAACAGGCCCTCTGATAGTGCCAGGGATAGAAGATGGTTCAAAGACCTCTTCCTTTCGGTGTCCTAAGTCTTTGGAGGGGTTGGAGAGGTAAACCAGGATTACACACAGCTGTACCCGTAGCGAGGAAGTCTGTGCAAAAGGCTAACACAGGGGCAGCACCTGTGGCTCAGTGGGTAGGGCTCCGGCCCCATATACCGAGGGTGGCGGGTTCGAACCCGACCCCGGCCAAACTGCAACAAAAAATAGCTGGGCGTTGTGGTGAGCACCTGTAGTCCCAGCTGCTCGGGAGGCAGAGGCAAGAGGATCACCTAAGTCCAGGAGTTGGAGGTTACTGTGAGCTGTGACGTCACAGCACTCTACTGAGGCGTAGAGTGAGGCTAAAGTGAGACTCTGTTTCTCAATAAATAAATAAATAAGCTAATACAGACAAGGGGTGGTGAGAAGTGCAAGGACAGGATCCTCACAGAAGCTGGGTGACCTTTGCCTAGGGATTTTATAGACAGGGAGGGGTCTTGCTTTGGATAGGACAGTAGTTCTTAAAATGTGTCCAGGGATCCCTGAGGTTTCAGAACCATTCTGGTAATACTAGAATTGGTATTTTCCTTTTTCATTCCTCTGTGAGTTCACTGTGGAGTTTTTCCAGAGGCCACCTGATCTGTGATAGCTCAGCAGGTTGAATGCAGAAACAGAGTTGAGAGTCCAGCTATCACCAGACCCGAAAGAGATGTGCAGAAATTAAAAGCATTGCCATTCTTCTCACTTATTAGTTTTACGTTGAAAAGTACACTTATTTTTTATTTAACATGTGATAGGCTTATTTTTAAGTGACTTTGTGAATACTTCTAGCTTTAACTTCTAATATAGATGCTACCAATAGCTATAACTCACATACACAGTAGCCATTTGGGGTCCTCAACAATTGTTTAGAGTGTAAAGAGATCTTTAGACCAAACCACTTTGAGAACCACAGGAGTACTGATCTCAGGTTCTAGTCACCAAGATTCCTCTAGTCTTAGTTTTGAATTATCACTAATTGTTAAAAGATGTTAGGACGCCTGCTACTCCTACTCAAGGGCTGTAAGAGATGGGTCATACAGAAACAGGTGAGCACTTGCCTTTGGTTTCCAAACTAGAAACAATTGTAAGTGTCCGTATTCCAGCAATGTGCTGAGACTTGTATGTGAATCAGGTTTTCTGTGCAGAGTCTTCAGCATTCAAGACTGGTGTCCTGGTCCTCCCTGCTCAGGTATCTTCTGTATGATGTCAACCCCCCGGAAGGCTTCAACCTCCGCAGGGATGTCTACATTCGCATCGCCTCCCTTCTGAAGACTCTTCTAAAGACAGAGGAGTGGGTGCTTGTCCTACCCCCATGGGGGCGCCTGTATCACTGGCAGAGTCCTGACATCCATCAGGTCCGGATTCCCTGGTCCGAGTTTTTTGATCTTCCAAGTCTCAATCAAAACATCCCTGTCATTGAATATGAGCAGTTCATTGCAGGTGAGGCAGAGCTCTAGGCTGAAGGGCTGTGGTGGCATAACTGGGGCCAAGCAGTTGTTTCCTTCTTTCTTTAGGGACAGGGACTTGCTCTGTCACCCAGGCTGGAGTGCAGTGGCATCATCGTAGCTCACCGTAACCTTAAACTCCTGGGCTCAAGTGATCCTTTTGCCTTATCCTCCCTAGAGGCCGGGACTACAGGCATATGCTGCCACACCTGGCTAATTTTTACATTTTTGGTAGAGACAGGGTCTCTTCATGTTGCTCAGGCTATTCTCAAACTCCTGGCCTCAAATGATCCTCCTGCTTTGCCCTCCCAAAGCAATAGGACTATTGGCATGTGCCTCTGGACCAGGCCTCATTTCTGACGTAGACATTAGGCAGAGCTCAAGATTGCCACAAGCCCACTGGAGTCTTGCCGGCACCCTGGATCACCTCACACATCTCCCTCAGGCCTGTTGTAGCTCCTGCTCTGTGCAGAGCTTACTTTCCCTAGACTACCAGTGACCTTTCATAACACTCCAGCAGAAACGGACTTGAAGTATATGTGCCCTCTCACCTCTGAAAACCATGGCAGCCTGGCAAGTAGGCAGAATTGAGTTAGAGCTGCCCTAAAAAAGTGCCAGGCCTGGATATCATCCTAGGAGGACTCGGCTCCCTGTGCCAAAGGCATTTTACATGGAGGAGGGCGTGTGTGTGGAGCAGACTGTGTGGTGTCTCACTACAGTGCCAGTGAGGACCTCTGCAGGTACATCTTGTTTAATTTCCTGCTGCCCGATCTTTCTGTTAATTTTTTAGAGAGGAATTAAAGCTTTTTTAAGAATAAAGGCATTTAGAGCTTTCTTTAATTTTGTTTGGAACATATAAATTCATAAGCAAACGATACTTCTCTGCTGCATTAGGGAGGCCTTGAACAAGAATGAGTAACTTCGGAGACTCAGGCTGCTGTAAATGAGTCTGGGCTTAGTGTCTGGGAGGGGCTGGGGACTCCTCTCTGCTGTTTTCTATGCCTCCATCCCTCAGGCTGGAGCAGGACCAGGAGCAGTACAGTGAAGGTAGTGCCTTGTGTCATGAACTGCTGAGGCCCATGCTCTGTTTTGACACCTCCCTGCCATTGACCAGCCTGGGACTTGCTGAGTCTTCATCTATTAGGGGGAAGGAAGGGAGTATTTGTTCTAGGACAGGGCTGCCAGGAGACTGCACTTGAAGAAGCCTGTGTCTCGGCTAGCAGGGCCCCAGCATATAGGGTCCCTGTCACACCCACCCCTGTAGCTCTGGCCTCAGCCACCGGCTACACAGTCATGAGTGAGTGTGAAAAAAGACCAGAATTCCACTTTCTCGTCCCTGGCCATGTTCAATCCGTCTTTGAGCAGATCTTTATTGATCCCTAGGATGTGGCAGTTGGCACCTTCTTGGGGGAAGGAGATAGCCTTGGGGACAGCCTGCTGCTGTCCTAGAGCCCCTGTCCTAGCAGAAACAGCACAGTCACCAAGTGAAATAATCAGTTAGATTCGAAGAGTTTGAGGGGAGAAATCAGACAGGTGGGGGGCAGGTCAGAGCCAGCCTGGAGGGGATAGTTTGGGCAGGGAGCTGCCCAGGCAGGTCCCTGAGGAGGAAGCACTCAGGCACTGGAGGAGCATGGGTGGCGGGGAGGGGCTGTGCAGCTGAGCCAGAAGATGTTTGTCTTGCCTGACCTCTAGCCCTTTGTGGGAATAAGATGGCCTTAAATAAATTGGTAAAAGCCACCCGCGCTGGTGGCTGTGCGGTGGGAGCCGTGAACTCACTCTGATTATCATTACTGCTGTGATTCTCCTTGTTGTCCCCAGAGTCTGGAGGGCCCTTCATTGACCAGGTCTACGTCCTGCAGAGTTATGCTGAGGGGTGGAAGGAGGGGACCTGGGAGGAGAAGGTGGATGCTCGGCCATGCATCGATCAGCTCCTGTACTCGCAAGACAAGCATGAGTATTACAGGTACCACTACAGAGCACCAGTGGCACTCGCCAAGTCTGCCGTCTCACAGGGCCCTGAGGACCCCCTTCCCTATGTCCTGATGAGCAGGCCTATGTCTCCTTTGTGCGGCAGCCTCAGGACCAGCCAGCGCCCTCCTGCCCCTGCACAAACAGGAGCTCAGGTCGTTTTAATAAACACTCCTGAGTGAGATCTGTTACTGACTGTAGCTGTGGGCCTTACCCCCAGGGGCTCTGATGCAGCCCTTCCTCGGCAGAGCTGTCACTTAGCAACATCACCTGTAAAGTGTTGAGGTTGTATGACGTGACAGTGACCACCACTCCGGCTCTGCAGGGTCTTCACCACCCCTACCTCTATCTGTGAGCAGAACTGTCCAGAATCATGAGGAAAGCTTCAGCAGCCCAGGAATCAAATCAAACTGAAATTCATGGTTTTCTTTAAAATTTTTTTAAAATTTTCACAAGAACATCACAACCAGGATCAGTAAGTTTTTCCTAAACGCAGCAGCTATGTTTCATCCCAGTTGAGCCACTTTGTGTGCTGTATGTCTGGATTGTGTTTTGTTGCCCGTGTGAAAGCAAAAGTAATACAAGTCCTGTGGGTTTTGTTTTGCAGAGGATGGTTTTGGGGTTATGAGGAAACCAGGGGGTTAAACGTTTCCTGTCTGTCTGTCCAAGGATCGGCTTCTGTCATTGCACCTGTACTTCTGAAAAACACTTCTGCTCGGTGAGTGCTGGCCCAGCCGGCCCTGGGCCTGGCCCTCCAGGCAGTGGGTGCCTGTGCTATGGCTGTGGTGAGGGCATAGGACTCTCCTCCTATCTGTTTCCCCACCTGCACGCCCCAGCTCAGGCCCCTCCACAGCCTGTGGCCCCTGGGGAAGCTGCAAATTGAACTTCACATAGAATCGGGTTACAGCTGGCTGGTGGTAGAGATGGGAGACCCAGTTCTGCAGCCATGAGGAGGGGCTTCAAGGGCTGTGGCAAGGATGAGTTCCCACAGATGCTCAAGGAGGAGCTGGGGGAGTGGCTGGGTGGGTTCAGGCCATGGGTCTTCCCTGCACCAAGGGAGCTTTTATAATTTCATCCCTCACCTGCTCTGGTTTACTCATTTTCTCACCTCATGGGTCTGGGGGATTGTGATATAGCCTCTTGCTCTCCCCACTGGGTGGCAGCTGGCCCCAGGGAGATGCTGACAGCTGGCCTGACTACAGCAAGCTCCACTCCCTGCATGGCAGGGACGACCAGAGCCCTTGGGAGAGCAGGCCAGGATCTGTCTGCAGATATGGCAGGCCGACCCTCATGGCCTCTTAACAGCTGCAGTGGCCCTTTGTGAACAGAGGGCACATGGCTCCAGCTGCTCAGGACATCCCATTATCACTTATAGAAAAGTGGAATTATTGAGGGAACTGGACTGAATTTGTTGAGATTCACTGTTCATACTGTCCTAGGTATGGGTCTTTTTCATTACAGTATCTGAGTTTCAGAAGCAGAGCTGTCTGATTTTGGTCCTGTGGGATATAATCTTGCTAGTCACTATATTTGGACTCACATTTCCAGGTTAGGAGGGAGCTGAGGCCAGAGAGAGGCTGGGGAGCAGCTAGTCCTAATTGGACAGAAACCCTTGTTCAGGGGAGCGGAGAGGACACCAGCAGGGAGACCTACCCAGGTGGGCTGGAGGCCTAACAGAAAGGCGGAGCCCTAGGAAGCCCACAACCTTGGTGTTAAGGATCACATCTTAAATGAGATGTGGAACACACTCCCCCCAAAAAGGATCAGTAAATCGTCAGGTTAAAGAATTTCCATCACAACAGTGAAGACAGACCACAGAGATGGGGAAGGCCCTGGCAGCACATCTAATGGATTAAGAGCTGTGTCCAAGCACAGGGCAGGCAGGGGTGTGAGCTGGGCCACAGATAGTTTGCACATCATTATGGGCACAGCTGCTGTGAACCCGAGAAGGTGGCCCAGCTTCAGGGGTGTTCAGGAAAATAAGCCTCCACTGCGGGGTGGGGCAATAGGGGCACATGGGCTGCTCCTGGCAGCAGAATTTGGTGGAACTGCTGGGGAGCATGGTTAAGCCTTGTGGCTTTGTGAGCCTACCCTGTGGCTGCACCACATATATACCAGGCACCTGTTTGAGACCAGCCGTGCCACACCTGGACCAGGTACCACATGCCCATCCACAGCAGGCCCAATAGAGAGTGACGTGCTCTAAACTGGGGGTGCTGCTACATTTGATAAAAGTCAGTTGGGATATAATGTCTAGTGAGAGAATGATAAAAGTAAGTGTAGTCTGGTATCATTTGCATGAAGTTGGAGATAGTTCCCTGTGAACAGTGGGGCAGGGCCCCTAGGGCGTGTGGGGATACAGAGAGTTCACGTTAGGACACTGCTCACACATGCGCAACAGAATGCACATTGCTAAGTACACCACCGTGTTTTATAGTAAAGCTCATAGCAAGCAGCCACTACTTACCGAGGCTCCGTCTCACCAGAACTAACCTCATGTCAGTGTACATATCTGTCTAAACACACGAATCAGGCCGTGTACATGACATGTACCTTCACCTGGTGGTTTGCCCTTTTTCCCATGTGATTACACATTTTGGGTATTGTTAAGGACCCATGGGCATACCTCATTCTTTCACAGCTGTTTTTGCACAGATGTAGGAGAATTTATTGGACCAGCCTATGTTGGTGGCCTTGGATTGATTCCAAATGGAAAAGGTTTTGTAGAGAAGTCTTTGCTCGGCTCGGCGCCTGTGGCTCAAGTGGCTAAGGCACCAGCCACATACACCTAAGGTGGCGGGTTCGAATCCCCAGCCCGGGCCCGCCAAACAACAAT